CTCCCGTTTGTAGAGCACGTAGAACGTGATTGCGAAGGAAGACAAGCTCTATTCTTAATCTTTCTTAGTAATGTTCCTTATGCATAGATCCAAAATTAGTTATACTATAGATGAGAGTGTATATACTTTGGTGTACAAAAGACTTAGTAGATAAGTAATGACTTAGAAATCTTTTGCTCTTAACAAATCTCCTGCTTATCCTTATTACATTTTATGAGTATCTATTTCTATCTTTAGAACACCATTATTACCTTACACTTATCATTTATTTATCACTTGACTTAACCTTGCTATAGTAAGAGAGTGGTTTTATCATAAGTATACATATTTGTCAACATCTCTATGCCAATACAACCCCATAGCTCCTCCTTGTGAATAAAATATAAATAACGATACTCGGTATACTCTCGAGTGAAATGCTACAATGGTATATTATCTATGCGCTTGCGGATACCTTATATATAGTTTACAAGTGTTCTCATAATTACCAACAACGTATTTCTGAGATCATACTAGGGATGACAACTTAGTTAAGAGTGATGCTAAGAAATGTCAACAACAGCACGTCGTGCCTCCCGGGCCGTGCCGAGGCAGGTATCGTGCCTGACCTATGGCCCAGGCACGGCCTGTTGGGCTGTTTTTCGGGCCGGGAAGGCCCGAGAAGCACAAGTCCAGCGTGTTGGGCCAGCCCGAGGCCCATGAGAAAGCGCGAGCAGCCACAGAGAGGGGGAAAGGGAGGAAGTGCGAGCAGCCACCAGCCGGAGATGGTAGTGTCGTTGGGGAGCTTGCCCTTGGGGCTGTTGACACCGGATCTGGCGTTGGGGCAGAGCTCGGGGCCGGCGCGCTCGGTCCCACGGCGATCGAGGCCGGTTCCCAGCGGCGTCGCTCGAGGAGAGGGAGGGGACGTCAGCGTCCGCGCTCGGTGTCAGCCATCGGCGGCGACGCTGCGAGCGAGGAGGTAGCGCCGCGTGGCATCGCGAGCCGGAGGGGACGGCCGGGCAGGGAAGAAGGAGTGGCATGGGCTGAGGAGTCATGGGTGAGGGAGTGAGGGGAGGAGGCGCGGGAGGAAAGCGGCGTGGCGTGGTACGAGTCGCGACTTCACGAGCAGGAGTCGGCGCGCGCGGGGGAGGAGGTGTGGAATTGAGAGAGTTAGGGTTTAGTGTGCACAGGACTGAGACCGTTGGACTCTTAACAGGCTAGACCATAGTGGTTACCGGGCCACCACCGGGCATGCCATAAAAATACGTGCTGTACCGTGTCAGCCCACGTGCCTAGGGTGCGGCTCAAGCACGGCCTGGTGCATCAGGCCGTGCCGGCCTAGGCCCGCATAATACCGGCCGTGCCGTGCTTAGGTCAGAAAAAAAAAACGTGTTTCAGGTCGTCCCGTCGGGTTAAGGCTGCGTGGACATTTATATTTGGACGCCGGGCACCGGGTGCCGTCCGCCCGGCTTGTCAAGGCGTTTGTGCCGACGAGGTCCCCTTCTTCCTCTTGTGTCCTCTGTTTCGCATGGTGGGGGCGGAGCGACGCGGAGGAATCGGCGCTGCGGCAAGTGCAGGAGTTGCTGGCGGCCACGACGGCCCGCATCCGACTCACCGGGCTGTCTTCCGGCTGCTCGAAGCCAGCTTCTCCATCTCGTTCGATGGGGAAGAATGGAAGGCGGTCTGGGCGGCGGCGGCGGATGGACTTCCGAGCGTGGCTCGCGGCTTGGCTCGAGATTTCCCTCGTCCGTGCCACAGTGCTTCATGGTGGGGCCCGTCTCCTGCGCTGTGGGGCCCGTCATTGCCAGGTGCTTCGCATGCAGGAGGTTGTGGTGCCTGTCTCTGCTCATTCCTGGTGACACGTGCCAGCCACGTCTCTTGTGCTCTATCTATCCGCACTTTTCAATTTCGGTGGTGTGTGGGTGTGGCACATACCTATCTCTACGATTTTCTTTGTACTACTCTTGTGGCCATCTGCAGATACGGAAGAGGTAACACAGCCACTGATCTTCGGGTTGATCGTCAACGTCAGTTCGTGCAGGTCTTCAGATTTGGCGTTGGTGGCTGTGGATCCATGTTGTTGAGCCCGGTGAAGCCTCTATCCTATGTATGGCTCGACTACTAATCCTCGAAGGCACAGGTCGATCAGACAGTCGAGGGGAGCGCCGACTGTGCTATCGGAGTGCGAGAACGAGAACCCTCGATGTTTCTATCATGGCCACTTCTCGTGGGCCCTATGGCCCCGACGGACCCCACGCTTCCGACGGAAGCATCACCTATGTCTACAGAAACAGATTAGTGTCTACAGAAGTAGATTGGCAGTAGCTTTTACTTATATGTGCTCTGCAATCTGGGAATTCTTTTCCCACACTGTTCTACTGTGTTTTAACGTTATATATTAAAAGTAGTTGTTGTAAAAAAAGTGCATTCAAGTGGAAATACCCATACAAACATGCAATAGCTAGCACCTATCAATTTCTGTAATTGTAAATAAGAAGAGATGTTTAGGAGCTTGCCTCACCTAGGCATTTAAATCCTAAAAAGAAAAGCAGCCATACACACTCAGTGCATTTGTTAGGTGTAGGTCATGACTTACTCAACTTAGTAAAGTTAAAGGAAAACAGATATAATATGAAGAAAACAACTATGGAATGACTTAGATAGTTTGATAAGATGCCTAATGATGATTTTGTTTGTGATGATGTTATCAACAATGGAGTGAGCGTCTTGGATCGAGGCAACGGTATTCTAGATGGTGGCATAACCAAGGGTTAAATTTGGCGGTACGAGTCATTTAATCTACGAAAATTTATATCCAATCTAATAAAAATGGAACAACGTGGCTGCTATGTTCATATAAAGAGAAGTGCTGTGACACGGTTTAATGATAAAAACAATTTAACGTAGTTCGACTCCGTACATGAATCTTGAGGCAGTCAAATGCCAATCCAGAAGTTACCTGTATAAGGCCGCGTTTGTTTCCACATCCATGGCGCGTTTGAGCGGCAAACACGCAAACATCCCGCCAAACGCTCCGCGTCTGACACACATTGGCTGGCCGCACGTCACGCGAAACACGGGAAGTTGAACTGGGCGGCGAGAAATCTCGCCGCGCGTTGGCCACTCCCGGAAACAAACAGGGACCTAAATAAAATGAGGATCCAATTTATTGAGGTGGATTCCTATACATAAACCGCTCACAAACCGCTTCCGATCACTACAGGTCAAAAATAATTTAAAATTAATTTACGTAGTCCGAGTGTCCGACTCTATTTATGAATCAGCCAAGCACCCAAGTTCAGAGGTTTTACTCGCGTTAAAAATCAGAATCCGACGATCTATGAAGGTGGATTCCTATATATAAACCGCTAAGACCGCTCTCGATCAGGACAGGTCTACATACTACAGGGGCCTCAGGAACAGGAAGGCAGCCCCTCTTCCACAGCTGCCGCCTGGGCTGGGCCAACCCGTGGCTAAAGATGGCCAACGGGCTGGCCTGGCCCGGCACGGCACGGGCCCGTGCCAGGCACAACCCGATAGGGGTCGGGCCGGCATGGCACGTCGTGCCTCCCGGGCCGTGCTGAACCGGGCGCCGGGCCTGGCCAACAGCCTAGGCACGGCCTATCGGGCCATTTTTCGGGCCGGGCCGGCCTGAAAAGCCCAAGCGTCTTAGCAGGCCGTGTCGTCCCAGCAGCCCAACAAGAGGGGAACGGAGGCGTCGTCGTCGCCTCCAGGCCGGGCACGGGTGGCGAAGGGGCGGCGTTGGCTGAGAGAGGCGGGAGGCGGTGGCGGCGCTCGACGCCGGATCCGGCGAGAAGAGAAGGGGATGGAGAGGAAGTTCTGGTCGGAGTAGCAGACGAGGTAGGAGCCGTAGAAGACGTTGACGTCCCTGTTGTAGGGGAACAACAGTTGTGCGTTCGGGAAGGCGGTGGGGACGCAGGCCCTGTAGGAGGAGGAGTCGGCGTTGCCGCGGCAGAGCGCGAGCGCATAGACAGTGTCGGGGACCTCGCCGATGGTGGCCGTTGCGAAGAGCTTCCTGGACAAGGAGGCATTCGTGGGGAGCGTGGCGGCGAGCCGCTGGATGTTGGCGTGGTAGGCACCGTTCACGGTGTAGTGGCTACTGTTGTTCCCGTAGATCTGCCCCACGGGGTCGCTGGCTTCTAGAGGAGTGGGGGTGAAGACGAGGAAGAGGGCCGTGGCGGATCTGGCCACACTCGACGCCAACGGCCGCGCGCGGCAAGAGGAGGTAGGGTCGTAGGGGCACACCGGCGGCGGCGCTTCCAGGGTGCGACCGCGTGGAGGTAAGGAGCCCCTGGCCACGCGGAGGTTGACGCATGACGCTGGATCTGTCGAGGTGAGCGCCTGAGCGGAGGTGAGGATCCTCTTCCCTGTGGTGGGCGCGGGGGTGGCAGGAGTGACTGCGAGAGTGAGAGAGGCGCCGCGGCTGGTGGGCGATGGGTGGGAAATTCCCACTGGGAATGGGGATTAGGATTTGACAGGGGGAGCAACCCAAGCACGGCCTGCTACCCTCGGGCCAGCACGGGCATGAAGAAGGCCGGGCTGGGCCAGGCTCGGGCCGGGCCAAAAAGGCGGGCTTTGGGCAGAGCCATCGGGCTGCGGGCTGCATGTACATATATACCCGTGGCACCGGTCGTCTCGAGGCAGAGCGAGCCTTGCATCGCTCGAGTGGGGAAGGCGCTGTCCCAGGCACCCAACCCTCTCTGCCAGTTCCGCCATTTCCGGAAGGAAATCGTCCACTGCGCCGTCGCTCTCTACTCCCCGCCCCCATCCCGGAACCGCTCCGCCGCGCCGTGGGCCGTTTCCATCTCCAGGTACGCATCGGGGAGAACTCCTGACTACCGGCTCGCCCGCAAGGTCGGCCCCCAGTATTCGATTTGAGCACCTGAAAACTGAGACATCGCGTGTTCCTTTGTTCTTTTTAATCCGCGTCCAGGGGGCAGGGGATCTCGGAGGGGGTCTGCTGGTGAGTCCGAGCGGGGCAGCGGCGGCGTTGGATGGAGATGGGGGCGGCGGCGGCGAAACCGGCACCGAGAGCGGACGGCGTGCGGAGGCACAAGGTACTCGTGCCCTGGCGTTTCCAGCCCGGCTTCGTCAGGCAGCCGCTCAAGCACGCCGCCTCCGCCAATGACGCAGCGCTCAACGGCGGTGGCGGTAATACCGCCGGCGTCCCTGATGCCAAAAATTGCGGATCGGATGGGGCGCCGAGCGCCGGCGGTGAAACCAACGGTTTCCGCGACGCAAAAATTTTCGGATCAGGTGTGGCGCCGAGCAGCGGCAAGAGCGGGGGAGTTGTTGGAGGAGAGGAGCAATCGGAGAGATGCACTCGAGGTCAGAGTTTGAAGAGCCCTGATGTGGACAATGGTGGTCGCCCTGGACCCGGAAATGCATGCAATCCGGGCAAGTCTGTAAGGGGTGGCTGGGTGAAGAGCTCTCCATTGGAAGGTGCAGGAAATAGCAGGGGTGCCAATGATGGCGGCGAGGCTGCCGCTGGAGAGGACTGCAATCTGGGGAGCTCTAACTGTGATGGTAGTTCGAAGGATGCTCGCACCCTGGATTTCAGGGGTGCTGGCAATGGAGCAGCTTGCGACCCTGAGGTGATTGAGATCAATGTAGGAGCAGAGAAGTGCTCTGCCAAGGGTTTGAAGAAGCCGTTTGTGGATCAGACCGGGTCAAAGAGCAATGGTTCTGCTTCAGGACTCAGGTCAGAGGACCCTGATGGAAATGTTGGCTTGGGAGATTCCTCTTATCATGCCGCAAAGGGGTGTAGCATGGGAGATGGGGCAGCCAAGGAGAATGACGCAACAGCCAAAGGTTGCAGCTCGGCGACTCCTGGCAGCAATGGTAATGGAACGTACTGCCGCAAGGGACGGAAAGCAGTTGTACCATGGAGATTCCAGGCTGGGTACAAGCGATCATTCTCTGATGCTTTTGGCTCCAATAATGGATCTCCTGATAGTCCAGCATACAGGTTTGACGGCAGTTCAACACAGTGCGCTCCAGCAACTAGAAGCTCTGTGCGGTGTTATGCAAGTGCTCATTCTGGTGTTAGAGTTTCTGCTATGTATAACTTCTCAATGAAAGGTGAAAATGGGACTGGTACTGAATGTAAGAAGAGGAAAACTGATAACGATTATCAGGATGAAGTGATGCTAAATAATGGAGGTCCAATCATTAGAGAGCGCATCATGCGGTCTCTACAGGATCTCCGGTTAATTTATCGGGAGCTTTTAGATGAAGAAGAGGATAATTCGAGGGAAGAAGTGCTTAACATGCGGGCAGATCTACGGGCTTACAAAATTTTCAGGGAGCGGTTCTCCACAGAGTTTGATGATGAGAAATATATTGGCAGTGTGCCTGGAATCTATCCTGGTGATATCTTTCATCTGAGGGTTGAGCTTTGTGTTGTTGGTCTCCATCACCCACACAGGGTAGGTATTGATTGTACCAAGAAGGATGATGGTACTACTGTGGCTGTTAGTATTGTGTCATGTGCACAATCTTCTGACATCAAGTATAATCTGGATGTCTTGGTATATGCTGGACCAGTGGCAGTTACAGTCAATCAGAGGATAGAGGGTACCAACTTGGCTCTTAAAAAGAGCATGGACACTAATACACCAGTCCGTGTTATCCATGGGTTCACCACTCAAAATGGAAAAAAGAAATTTCCTACTTATATATATGGTGGTTTATACCTTGTTGAGAAGTACTGGAGGGAGAAAGAGCATGGAGACCGTTATGTGTATATGTTCCAACTGAGAAGAATGAAAGGGCAAAAACACATTGACATCCAAGAAATTCTGCAAACAGGGAACTCTGGATCAAACGACAATGTTATCATCAAAGATCTATCACGTGGATTGGAGAGAGTTCCAGTACCTGTTGTTAACAAAATATCCGATGAGTGCCCAATGCCCTATCGCTACACTTCAAGCCTTCAATATCCCCGTAACTATTGTCCAACTCCTCCAGTAGGTTGTGGTTGTGTAGGTGGGTGCTCAGACTCAAAAAAGTGTGCATGTGCAGTGAAAAATGGTGGAGAAATCCCTTTCAATGATAAAGGCCGCATTGTAGAAGCAAAGCCTCTCGTTTATGAGTGTGGGCCTTCTTGCAAGTGCCCTCCTACATGTCACAACAGAGTTGGCCAACATGGGCTCAAGTTTCGGCTGCAAATCTTCAAAACAAAATCAATGGGTTGGGGTGTGAGAACTCTTGACTTCATACCATCTGGAAGCTTTGTGTGTGAATATATAGGAGAAGTGTTGGAGGATGAAGAAGCACAAAAAAGGACAAATGATGAGTATTTATTTGCTATTGGGCACAATTATTATGATGAGTCACTTTGGGAGGGCCTATCAAGATCTATACCGTCACTTCAGAAGGGTCCGGGCAAAGACGATGAAACTGGATTTGCTGTTGATGCTTCAGAAATGGGGAACTTTGCAAAATTTATCAATCATAGTTGCACCCCAAACATATATGCACAAAACGTCCTTTATGATCATGAAGATATCAGTGTCCCTCATATCATGTTCTTTGCTTGCGATGATATTCGACCCAACCAAGAACTATTATACCACTACAATTACAAAATAGATCAGGTTCATGATGCCAATGGGAACATCAAGAAGAAGAAATGCCTCTGTGGCTCGGTTGAGTGTGATGGCTGGCTGTATTAATTTTATTTTGAAAGTTGCTGTATTAAGTTTAGAATCTGCAGTTTTTTAGGCACAACTGAACTTGAGCTTGTGTCATTGCACCTGCTTCTAGATTATGGTATGACTAAAAATTTAAGATAAGACACCAGTGTTTTTAGTTGCCAGTGGGGTAAGTTTTTTTCCTTCTTTCCCATCCTATTCGTTATTTTGTATGTTTATCTTTCAATGTGAAGACTAATGTGTGCATATGCCAATAAGTTTACATGATTTTTCTATTTCGACAATTTCCATTCCTTATTGGTTGGTCTATTATTAACTACCACTCTACCATGAATTTATAGCCTGTGGTCATGCTATGACAATTTATTTTTATCGTGAATAATGCTTTACAATATGGAATGAGATATTCATGTTTCAGTACTTTTATTTGAAAATTCTAGCTTCATTTGCACTTGTTTAGTGTCTTTCAAACTGTTCCTGATATTTCATTTTGATTAACATCATCGGTCTGAATAGTATTGTATGGTTTCAGGTTTCTGTTCTTGAGCTTTTCTGGCTCGTGCAAGTTGCAAACATTTTATGTTCCTTGAGCATTTTGCAACATTACTGGCTTACTGCTTGGTGCTACAGGTTCCTAGAGCATTTTTCCATATATGGAAATTCTTAGAGCACCATTCACCAGCAATGACTCAACCTTGTGAGTTTCCAGTTTTGACATCAGATCCAAAACTGCTCAGTTCTGGACATCTTTATGGCAATGACGGGCTAGAACCTAGAATGCCCTCAATCTGAGACCGTCCTGGAACTGGTTTTAAAAAAGGACTACTACTATCCTTGACTTCGTTCAGGATTCGGATGCTATTCTTGTCCTGGAACTGGAAGCTTGTTTTATGCACGTTTGGCTTTATGCTCACATGTGCAGGTGTGATGAACTCAGAGCTTCAGTCAGATTCAGTAGCAAAAGCAAGACTGAGTAGCAGTCGTTTTTACCGGGGTGGATCCATCATCCATGACTCTAGAAAAAATAGAGTTCTACCATCGTTGGATTCTCGTTCCATACATCGATTGGAGTAACACGATTCGACGTCATGTCGATTACACAGTTATGACAAGGTAATAGTTACTTGCAAAAAAAAAAGTACTACTAATAAGTACTAGGAGAGTGTTAATTGTTACAGTATAGAGTTTAGAGTATATACAGGTTAGCAGTAGTACACTGCCCCAGACGCTAATCGGCCTTCTTCAGTTGCTGCCACGACCGCGGCCTCCTCGCGGTGGCCGCTGCCTTCCGCCGCCGCCGCCGAGCCCACCGCGCGCGCTCCAGCTGCCGTGGCCTCCTCCAGCCCCAAACGACCCGCCGCCGGCCCCCCAGCCGAAACCGCCAGCGTGACCGCCGAAGCCGAACTCGTAACCCTCCACGCCCGCTTCCTCCACTACCGCTGCCGAAGGCAAACCCGTGCGCGGCGCCGTCTGCAGCGCTGCGGGGGCCCTGCGCCGAGCCGTGGCCGTAGCCCCAGCCACCTCCGGGCCCCAGCTGTAACTCCACGAGCCGTCGGGGCCGGCGCCCTGCCCGGACCCGGAATCGCCGGTCCATTCGGGCGGCACCTTCCGCCCTTGCCCACGCCCACGCCCGCGCCCGCGCCCCGGCGCGACACCTCTCGGGCCGTCCATGCCGCCCGCAGACCGCAGCAAGAGGTGGAAGACGAAGATCTGCTTGACGAGAGCACGCGACCACGACGTCGCCTGGCTATCAAGTCTTTGCCCTGTTTATTGCGTGCGAGTTGCGACTTGGCGAGCACTGTTTTCTTATCTACACAAGTAGAAAGTACACGCTTTCGCACTGCTGATTTGTTTTGTTTTGTTTCAAAACACAGTAAATACACACTCACCTATAGAGACAGGACTGACCCATCTACTAGCTCCATTGGTCTCTTTTGGTGTTAGTGCCACAACGATGCTGACTCCTGAACGGCACAAGTTTGAAGTTTGCTTTCCTTTTTAGTTGAGTGAAATTTAGGTGAAGTAGCACTCCAACATCCAATTTTCTTGATAATTGTAACAAGAATAGTTGAAAATCACATAAAAAGATTGTTGTAACTCTAGTATATACATACATATTGTAACTCCAACAAGAATTAATTGCAACTATAGTTAGGAAAAAAATGTGTGTTGAGGCCTTGGAAACACATAAAATTTGTTTCCTTCACTCTTAGATGGATTCAAAGACCGGGGAAAAAGAAGGCAAAGAAAGAAAGAAAAAATAACAGGGAGGAAAAATGGATGCTTGTGTGCAATAGAACAACCGGGCAGTGTTTCGATTTCCCTTATAGGATGAGGTTTTCATTGTGGATGCCTTGATTGTACTAATAATTTATTTGTTTTCCAACCAAAATAGTGAGCAGATAGAATGAGAAGGCCTCCCCTGCTCACAATGATAAAGAGGAGGCACGCGCTTGTGCTTAGCGGGAGTGAAGAATCTTTCAAGCAATAACCTCGAAATTAGGGCCTCTATTTTTTTTTGTAATGACTTTAAGATGGCCGGCCACTTTTTTATCCCAGCCCACACACACTCTCCTCCCCCACGCGCACGTGCTCATCTCCCACCCCACGTGCCGCCGCTCCTCCCTCTCTCCCCTCCGGCGGTGGCGGGTGGTTTCGGCGGCGAGCTCCTCCTCAGCGAGCTGCTCCTCGGCAAGATCCTCCTTGCGCCCCACCGCACCATGAACGGCGGCTTGGGGCGGATCCGGCGGCGACCATGGCAGATTCGGCGAGGTAGGCTTCCTCCTCCTCCTCCGCCGCCGCCGCCGCCTCCGAGTTAGGGTTCCGGCGAGCTCTCTCTCTCTCATCTTCCCTAACTTCGGCGGTCTTAGAAGGGAAGGTTTGGGGAGAGGAAGGCCGGCCAGACGGTGGGGATGGCTAGAGGGCGGTTAGGGCCCTGGCGGCGGTGGAGGCGGCTGGGCCAGGGCAGGGTGGGGGAGCTCCGGCGAGGGGTGGGAGGCAGCGGCGGGGGCAAGGGCGAGGTACCGGCGTAGCCACCGACGAGGAGGAAGAAGGTGGGGGGGGACGCGCGAGAGGTTGAAGACCATCGCACACACAACCGTTTTTTAGCTGCGTCCTTTTTTTGCTTACAAGCTTTACTCTACTATTTGGCGTCGTCCTTTCTAGCTCAACTCAGTAGCAACATTTAAATTAGGACCCTCTACTTACTTCTGTGGTATCCATTTGTTAGCCATATTTCTTTTTTCATCTCTCTCTCTCTCCCCCATCTTGCATCTACACCCTTCAGCACTGGTCCACCACCTCCCTCTCCTCCACCATTTGGGCTCCCATCCCTCTTCTCTTCCTCTATAGCCATCGAAGATCGCCAGCCCTACACCCACACACGTTGCGCCCACATGCCTAGGGGTGTGGCTACTTAGGGCACACCCAACTTATGAGGCGCAACTCCCAAGCAAGGAGGGAAGCTTGAACAACAAAAGGGAAAGAATGTTCGGTGCTCGAGAAGAGGATTGACAAAAATTAAAAAGTAGGGGTCTCGTGTAAACCGTGGAATGAAGGCTTGAGATAGAAATTGGAGGGTCTTTTATTTTTAAGGGTGTCCTAAGGTCCATGCTGTAGTGGGCCTATTAGAGTTGCTTAACACAAACAATACAACATGAGTGTAGATCGTTTTTGTCTTTTTTGGTCTAGCCTGCACGCTTTGTTTGTACTTTGAGGCTTTGAGCATGTACAAAAGCGTGCTGGGGGGGTTGGAAGAAAAAACCAAATTTCCACTAGTAGTGCTTGAAAGATGCCTAAGATGTAAAAAAAGATAAAAATGAGAGGCACCCAAAAATATTCTTTTTTCTTTCTTAACTGGCCTATTACTCTGGTCGTGTATATCGGAAACCTTGGGAAATACAGACAGGATGAAAACTCAGTAACTTACCTTGAACAAGTCACCATCTAACTTACCTCCACCATCCAGCCATTCAAATTAGATCCAGCGGCTCTTGTGCTTGGAAAGCAAAATCACCTCTGACATAGCTGTTTTTTTTACAGTAGTTGATACACAACTCATGCTCTTTCAAAGAAAAAAAATAAAATACAAGTGTTGACACAACATTTGAGGCTTAATAGCTCATGCACCTCAGACATAGGAGTAACTGTTTTTTACAGTAGTTTAGACATAGCAAATCACTAAATAATCAAGTGTTGACACAACAACAATCAACTACTTACAAGTGCTGATACTATAGTTAGCCTGTAATTAGGTAGTAAAAGCTAGAGCAGATTTTGAAGGTCCACATTTGCCAAAGTTGGAGTTTTTATGAGCTGAGTAAAATTGTTAATGACAATGTACTTTTGAAGCTCGAAATCTCCTTTCTTGTTGCCATCTTATTCCACTTCTACTTGAGGCTCTACATCGCTTTTTTTCCTTTTGTGGCTGCTAATAAAAGTGCAACTAATTAGTTGAGGAATATTCAGATTGCAAAATGACATACTACATTGCAACTAATTAGATGGCGAGCACAACAAAATATATAGATTGCAAGTCAAGATAGGAGCGCGGCACGGCGGCACGTGGGAGCGCTCTGACTCATGTGCCTCGGTAAAAAAGCGGACTAGCAATTGCTTGATTGGTTGCGAACCCTTAGATCTCTCCTTCCTATACGTGGAAAGTTGCGCTGTGACTTTCTTCAGTAAAACCTCTCCCGATACGTTTCCTGAATTCTTGCAAGATTTATATGGATACGACTTACCTTGAGGCCTTGTTTGGATCAAAGGAATTTCATAGGAAATTTGTAGGAATCCATACCTTTGGAAAGGTCAGTGAAAGTGCCGTATGGAATAGAGGAAGTTTCAACAGTAAAATGGAGGAAGGTTTCCTGTGTCCTCATTTCACAGGAAAGAAAACGTCCAGTTGGAGCTAAAGGTTGGGCGGAAGACCGAGGCAGCAACGCAATCAACGAAATCAGCGGAGCAGCATAGGTCATCTCCTGCTGTGTCGGACCTGTGAGCCAAAGGTGGCTATGGCTGGCTGGTAGGACTTATTTTGTTTGGGGCCCATTTGACATGAAGGTTGTGTAGAAAAAATATTATATAATTATAACAATTGGATCCACATGTCATCATCTTATGTGTCTTTATTAATCTAGATTCACTTGGATTCCTGTGATCTAATTTCTGAGTTTCAAACACCTATTCTTATGTTTTCTTTACGTTTTTCTTTTCTCTGTTTTGCCAATACATCCATACCCTATTTCTGTGTTTTTTTTCTCATTCCTCTGTTTTCAATTCGTTTGTTCAAAATAGGCACTGGCTCTCTATCGGTAACCAACCAAACTCTACTCGCCGGAGAGGAGACCGGACGTGCCGCGTGCGGACGCAAGTACAGTACGAGTAGCCAAGGGCAGTATGGTTAAAGAAAAGGTCGGGTTTCCCAGGCCAGACACCACACCATCAAGGCAGCAGAACAGGACGGAAGAGCCCAGCCCAACCACAGCCACGAGCCACCGCCTACCTCTACCGGGCACCGGCCGCATTCTCTCCCCTCTCGCCCTCTCCCCGTTAAACCCTCCTTTTGACTCTTTCCTTCTCCTACCCGAACAACGGCAGCAGCCCGGTATTCCGCATCCCTACCCAACAATGGTGGCCGTCGTCGAGGTGGACGCGGGGCAAGAGGCGAAGCGGGGGAAGGCGACGGATGAGGAGGGGCAGTGGACGCCGCCGCCGCCGCCGCCGCCGCAGCCGGTGGAGGTCGCGCGGAAGCCCCGCCAACCCACGCCGGATCACCCACCCTATTGCTGGGTAATACCCTACTCGCCGCGGATTCGTTGATCGATTACTCACCCCATTGCCATTTCATCCTGTGCTCCCCTTTTATTTCTTTGTTATGATATATGGTCTAAAAAACATTGTTTTAGATTTTATAATTAATTAGCACTGCTTGTAATTAGTTTTATTCTGCGATTAATTTGCTCTGTTAATCTCTGCTCAATCGAACGGAATAGGAAATTAATTATTAGGTATAAGTATAACGACCTCCGATTTAGAGGCCACACCACTAGAGCGGCCTTACCGAACAAGCTTATGCTAACGTTGATCAACCGTCAAAGGAGGATTTCCCCCCTCTTTTATTTTGTTGAGAAAAGGACGTTGCAATGGAGTTCCCACCAGTCATTTCTCCGGTGGGGCACCGATTACCACTTTACTACTCTTGACATTGTGGCCGTGTTGGGTTGCAGATGATCGGCGAGGCAATCGACGCGCTGGCCGAGGACGGCGGCTCGTCGGAGGACTCCATCTCGGCCTTCATCTGCGCGAGGCACCCCGGCGTGCCCCCCGCGCACGATAGGCTCCTCCGGCACTACCTCGGCAAGCACGTCGCCGAGGGCATCTTCGTGCGAACCGCTGCGGGGCGGTACGAGCGCTGCCCCGAGGAGAACGCGGATGAGGTGCTCCTGCTGGAGCAGGCTGAGGCCGGCTCGTGCAAGATGGCGTCCGTTGAGGCCAAGCGTGGCCGAGGCAGGCCGCGGAGGGATGGCTTTCCTTCGACGCCGCCTGCAGGCAGGAAGGATGGCGGCGCAGGGGCTCTGTGGATGACACCGCCTGCAGGCTCTTCTTTGACACTGGCCGCTGCTGCCAAAGACTCTGTTCCAGTGTCACCGGTTGCTGTTGCAGACAAGGACGAAAGCCAGGCACCGTCATTGAAGCCCAAGCGCCGTGGCCGGCTTCGCAGGCTGGGGATGGCCACGACCACGGACAGCTCTGGTGAAGCACTCGTCGCAGGCAAGAAACATGGCAGTGAGGTTTCATACACTTTGGACAAGGAGCATGAGCCACCGCGTGAGCTGGGACTGGTGATCCTCGGTGATAGCTCTGCTGCATCCACCATGGACAAGGCGTGCACCGAGGTCTCTCCAACCACGCCACCTGTGGGTGGTGATCAGCCTCTCGACCTGGCCCTGGTGACCACCACAGAGGTGCCTCTGCCTGAACCTGCGTCAAAGCCAACGCCTGCTATGGACAAGGATGGTGGTCAGCCTCTCGACCTGGCCCTGGTGACCACCACTGAGGTTCCCGTGCCTGTGCCTGAACCTGCACCTGCACCAACGCCAACGCCTGCTATGGACAAGGATGGTGATCAGCCTCTTGACCCGGCCCTGGTGACCAGCACAGAGGTGCCTGTGTCTGAACCTGCGCCAATGCCAACGCCTGATATGGACAAGGATGGTGGCGATGCTTCTTCAGTCGTGGACAAGAATGAGAGCATTTGGACAACGCCCACTGCGCCAGAGCCTGGCAGCCAGGCTTGCAAGCTGGCACTCATGGCTGCTGCTGCTGCTGGCTTTGTTCCAGTGTTGGTTGCTAACAAGAAGGGTGGCCTTAAGGAGGCTCCATCTGCAAGCTACAAGGATGTTCTTCAGCCTCGCAAGGCTGGCTCTGCTCCAACTGCATGCAAGAAGGCTGGCGGCAAGGCTCTGTCAGCTACCCCCAAGGGCCGTCGCCGGCAACACAAATCAGCCGCGGTGGCTACTGGTGACCGGTCTGCTCTTACACCTGGCAAGAAGCTAGGCTGTAAGGTCTCATTTGCATCGCCCAAGTTGACACCGGTGATTGCTGGTGGTTGTCCTACTCCAGCTTCAGTTGCTGACCAGGGCGGCATGGAAACATCAGCGGCGCTGAAGCAGCACGGCCAGCCTCACAAACTCATGCTCAAAGAAAAGCCTCGCAAACTGTACCCTGTTACCGCTGACGAGATTTCAGATGATCCGGGGATTGTTTTGCTCGCGTTGCCTTCTCAGAGGCTGGCAGCATCAAACACGTAGCTCCAAAACTTGGGTACCTGAAGCATCTCATATGCCGAACACTTTCAGAATTGCTAAATGCAATGCGCAGGATGATAACTTTAGTGTGTGCTCTTTTAATTAACTTTAGTGTGTTCTCTTTTAATTAACCTTAGCGTGTTCTCTTCGGCTGAATTATTAAGCTACTACTTAGCACTTATGAGTAACTCATAGTCACAGCAGTGCTTTAAACTGTGTGGATAACTGGTTTATTTGAATCTCTTCTGCAATTTTTGCGGATCATTTATATCTGGGAGCTTCAAACCCCATACTAGAGTTTCATTAAGAATGAAAAGATACATGAACTTTGTTGAGACCTAATAAGCTTTCTAAAATATTATAAAATGATTAAATACAATTTTCAATAATCATCACCAAGAACTAGATAACCAACCATTAGTAACCCTGGATCAACAAGCACAACACCCAGAATGTTATTTCAACTGGACTCCTTCCAAGTCAGCCTTTTCTGATAAATTTTACCGTATCAAACACTGATCCTCCAACATTGTTGGAAATGAATTATTGAATACACCTGATGAATTTGTAATGGTCTCATGCCTCCCAGCCTCTCAAGAGGGTGGCACGGGCAACCCTGTTAACTCCTAAGGTGAATGCCCCCATCCTAAGGTTGCAATCCAGACTCTTGCACATGGCCTTGATGTGTTGAAAAGCACTGCTCATGTACTTCTCTAGTTCATTGTTCACTTTCTCTTCATCCCACATGAAACCTTGAATGTTCTGCACCATCAATCAACATAGCACAAGAAAACAGATTAAAGCAAGGAAGTAATCGAGCAATAAAGTGGCGACACAGACATTTATTTACCTGAACCCACTCAAAGTAGCTAACGATCACACCACCTGAATTAGCATAGATATCAGGTAATACTACTACTCCGTTCTTGGCAAGAATCTACAGCATATGCAAGAAGCAGCAACTCAGGAAAAAAAAAGTTGGCAAAATGGTTCTTCCTGATATTATTGCACAAAATAGATGGTTCTACCTCATCTGCCTCTGGATCAGTTGGATGGTTAGCAGCTTCAATTATAAATTTGGCCTTCACGTCAGGTGCATTATTCCTGCACAAAACCAATTACCAGAAATCAGCAATCCTGGGGTATATACACAACAGAGCTAGAAAATAAATCAAAAGTAGGCTATTTAGAAAACAAAATTGGCATAGGCTGTGTTTAGTTAGAGGGAAAGTTGGAATTTGGGTACTGTAGCACCTTCGTTTTTATTTGACAAATAGTGTTCAATTATAGACTAATTAGGCTCAAAACGTTCGTCTCGCAATTTCCCATCAAACTGTGTAATTAGTTTTTTTTTTCATCTACATTTAATGCTCCATGCATGTATCGCAAGATTCGATGTGATGGATACTGTAGCACTTTTTTGGAACTTCTTTTGGAACTAAACACGCGCATATTTTATCAGGACTGACACATATCAATGGGCAAAAATTGTTGAAAGCTAATGAAACTAATAATAGACAAGGAAACTCGTTCTTACTTGTTAAGAACTCCACCTAAGGCACAGGGGACAAGAACATCACAGTCATGCACTAGCAACTCAGTTGAATCCATAACTTCTGCGCCATGAAAGTCTTTCATGGCATGACCTTCATTCCTATGCGTCACCAAAGCAGGTATATCTATACCAGACGTGTTTCTGATTGAACCAGTCACATCTCCAATTGCAATAATCTTACCACCTTTCTCGTGGATAAGTCGTGCAGCCCACGAGCCAACATTGCCAAAACCCTGCAAGGTTGACATATATTAATCTATATATATTGTATTGTGCTGGCATACTGGCAATAACATATATAGAGTATTTTTTTAATAGTAGTTAACCGGCTAAACGAAACATATGACTCTCTTTTTATTATCTTATATAAAAGTAAATTCAATGGACATATGTCAATCAATTATCACTCACTTGAATCACAAAAGTTGATCCAGAAATACATTTTCCATATTCAGCAAGTAGAGCCTCAGTAGCATACATGACACCTCGCCCTGTTGCTGCATCCCTGCCCAATGATCCACCAAGATCCTACAAGAAAAAAAATATAAAATTTATAATAACTATTGCACTCTGTTTTTCCTATTACACTTTGTAAAAACTATTTGCACCAAAGTAACTTGCTGCCACATTTTTTTCACGTACAATTGGCTTGCCTGTGACGACTGCTGGTGAGTGACCATGAAATTTCGAGTACTCATCCAACATCCATGCCATGGTCTGTATCATAATTGCATATATAAAAATAAAGAAGGTAGCTAAGCATACAAAAAAGAGCGGATCACAAACAATACCAAAAGCAATATTAGGCCTACCTGTGCATTGGTCCCCATGTCAGGAGCTGGGACATCTCTATGCGTTCCGATAAGATCATGAATTTTTTGGGTAAATACTCGCGTCAACCGCTCCAACTCACTTGTACTTAGTTCACCAGGAGAGCACCCGATCCCTCCCTTTGCTCCACCATATGGAACTGCTGCAACGGCTGTCTTCCATGTCATGAGTTGAGCAAGAGCGTTTACTTCATCTGGATCAACCTGCCAGACAAAACAATGAACTCGTATTTTTAATTATTATAAATTTCTGAATCGAGTAATACATACAAGAAAATTATGGCTGTTTTTTTAGGCCTGTACTGAGATTTCACAAACCTAGCAGAAAAAAACAAGACTAAAGCATTTATATAAAAATGCAAGGTTTTCCTATTAAAAAACATAACTGACAACCAGGGTCAGAAAGATCTGGAATAGATATATCAGAACAAGAGTCCTAGTTCAGATTTAGGATATGTTTGTACAGTTTGAATTAACATTAGCCTTTAATAAGGAAGTAAAGTCTTGGACATTCGCAGAAAACCACTAATAGATTGGTCCAACAAAAAAATTATTACACATTAAGCTGTTCTATCACTTTGACAGGAAGAAGAAATGAACGTAACCATATATGCAGAGATTAAAAGATAGTGGAGGAGCTTTACAAAATGACAAGTGACGACAAGTTGTTCTATCAGTTTGACAGGAAGAAGAAATCAACGTAACCATAACGTGCCTTTTACAATTGCTGCATTATTTGTATTCCTATTTTACAATTGCTGCATTATTTGTACTTTTCGAAGAGCACACAATAGAAAGAATCGACAGCAGAATCGCATCAGCGGGCATCGATCACCTCAGGATGATAGCGGATGCCGCCTTTCATCGGCCCGCGGGCGTTGTCATGCTGCACGCGGAAGCCGACGAACGACGCCAAGCTGCCGTCGTCTTTGGGGATGGTGCATTCCACCTGCGAGGAACAACGCGAAACCCATGAGCAAACAATTCGACCAACACGAACGGTTAACAGATATGCCACAAGCAACGGCGCCGGAGCCTCACCTTGATCTCCCGGAACGGGATGAGCAGGCTCTGCTCGAGCTTCGAGTCGAGGCCGAGCAGCTTCGAGGCCCGCCGGAAGTTGCGGCTGGTGGCGGCGAGCGCGTTCATCGCGGCGGCAACTTTTTTTCCTTTTTCCAAGAAGAAGGATCACGAGCGCGCGGCCACGAAAAGGACCCGCCTTTCCAGCACCGCCGACAGAAACAACAAGCGCTCGCGACGAGAGCGAGATCCGGGCGACCCAAAAACGGCAGGAGACGAGACGAGACGAAGAAAAGGCGGCGCGTTTCGTCCGAGGATCGAGGAGGGAGGGCCGGCCTGATGGTGATGGAGATCGGGGGTAAAACCACCGGGCTGTATTAATAGAGGGAGGGGTCGGGGTGGGTGGAGGCTCGGAGCTGGAATTAGACTGGAGGATAAGATCGACGCGCGGGGGATGAGCTATACGAGTCGGAGTAGAGGAGTGGCTGGCTTCACGATCTGGAACTCCTGGGGAAGGAGAGGGCAGGAGTTCGCAGGTCAGACATGCTCTGTCTCTGTCTCAAACGTTGGAGTGGGACTGGAACTCGATTAGAGTCAGCAGTACGTCTTCGAAGCGGAAGGGATTTAGTGGTGCGCGCTGACGCCGGATAAGGAAGGGAGATCGAATTCCATCAATTAGGAAAATTCCTGGGAGAGGCCGCCACGGCGCCGAGGGAGTTCTTCCTACCATCCATGGCTTCTCGAGTCTCTCTTGCAGTGCTGCGTCTCCCTCTTTTTCCCGTCCACTTTACAAAAAAAAAATCTCATTTTGCCTGTGGGTCCCGTTTGACAGTGAAGATATTAATTCAGGGCCCACATGGGACGGCTTGGCTGCCAGTGCGTGCCGTGTTTGCTAACCTTTTTGGTGCTCTTTTTTTCCGATGATCTCACCTGCTGTAACTGAAAAGTCTGTGTTTTGTGTGTTCTTTTACTCAGAAATCGTCAGGATTTTTGTCGTGGCGTCGCTGGATTCTCTGCAGCCTTGCCCGTGCAGTCAAGCATCGCCCTGACAAGGCAGGCAATGTCAGCCCTGAGCTTTGCATGTTCAGCGTCGCTGGATTCATGTTCAGCGTTGTTGATGTGTAGATTTAAATATTTTTCTCTCGCAACAAACTAATAGATCAAAAACCAACCAACATACACACCGATTTATCTTCACGGGCTCTCCTGCTCTCCTCTTGTACGCGTCCGCTCCTCCTCTGCTACACCTAGCACGCAGGACAATTTAGCGCACTGTTTCAGGTCAGTTGAGGTAGTACTCCGTAGCCAACTTGCTTTTCTCTCGGCCCCAGAGGATTTGCTGTATTGGCGACGAACCAACGACGCACCGAAGCGCAGTGGCATCTGATGTGTACGCGTCCGCATCTGATCTGCACGCAGGACTTGTTCACTGTTGGTCAGTTGAGCTGGCCATAGTCAACTCTTTTCTCGGCCCCAGAGGATTTGCTGTATTGGCGACGAGAAGGCGAGGAGAGAAGCGCAGTGGCATCTGATCTGAGGCAGGCAACAACTACTTCCTCTTCAGGAAAACAGCTCCCGCCCAAATGGCAAACCTGCCCAAGGGTGAGGCTTTAATTTCAGGTGTAAAGTTTTGATGTGTTAAGTTATGTGTTATATAGAGATGTCGATATTCGGATACTAATAAAAAAATAAATTATAGAATCTGTTAGTAAACCACGAGACGAATTTATTAAACCTAATTAATCCGACATTAGCACATGTGTTACTATAGCATTTTATGTTAAATTATGAACTAATTAGGTTTAAAAGATTCATATCACAAATTAATCGTAATCTGTGTAATTAATTATTTTTTATTTTATATTTAATATTCTATATATATGTTAAATATTCGATTCGATTTGATAGAACGTAAAGTTTTTGGTGACAGTAAAAAAGGGCTGAGGCAGGCAGGGCCCGTGCCTTTTTGCCCGGGAGGAGCCGGTGATCGATGCAGTGCAACCAAGCCACGGAAAGATGGAGCATTGGAGCGTGAGGTCCACAGGTCGCGGTCGTATCTGGCCAGACAGCGGCAGTTTATTCATTGAGCGGAGAAATTTTGATAATTAACCTGTATTCACGCGCACCTCGAGATTTGACATTAAATTCATATATTTTTAAAATATAACCCTACCTATGTGAATTTCTTTAAAATTTAGGATTTCGAAGGATTTCTATGTTTTATTAATTCCAGCCCTCCTTTTGCACTGTTTAGGACACCGAAAAAGATGATAATACCCCTCTTGGCCTAAACACACGCCCAGCCCCTTGGTTGCATTAGTTCGCGCGTTTTTTTTCCCGAGATCGTTCTCAGCCATTCCATTCTCCTTCCCAACAGTTCTCATGCTCCCCAAGACTAAAATTTTGCACAGTTCTAATATTTTGGTCAAAATAAATATGATAAATTATAATAAAATATGAGCATAGAAAATAAAAACAGCCATACAATTTAGTAAATATTGCGTACACGTCGATAGTTCAACCATCTAGCCAGTTTGATAAGAGTATATGTTCACATAGTTCACATAGTGAGAGTAGAATCATCCACCAATTTAAGACTACAAGTTCACATACACAAAAGATGGCTGAAAATCTAAACAAACAAAAGTCTCATGATATTGGTGTAAGATTATTCAAACATCCATGTTCTTCTCCTTCTTTGGAGTGAGTTTTTTCTTCAGACCTAGCCTCTTTCTTGGACTCTTCCTTGAAGTGGTCATAGTATTACTTGGTACTTCTCCAGTTTGACTGGATATCATAGGTAAATGGAATGGTTCATTACATGGCCTGAGATAAGTATGTACAGAATGAATTATTTTTACCTTCTTCTCACTGCTCTGGAGCTTGTAGTGAACTGATTTGTCCCTCCAGGTTCCACCATTGTTAATGCAATTGGCTACAAAATGAGATAAATATTTAGCCTAAAAAAGACTAGTGTTTGAAATTCCAAGTTAAGGTTTAGTTACCTTCTTGTAACGGGACCGGGACTATTATTCACTAAATTTTCTAGAACATGAACCTTCTACCTTTTGGATGGACTAGGAGTTGCATCACCTTTGGTACAACCAGCAGGCCTACCTACCGTCCCTTTCTTGGCATGACTTTTCCTTTAAATGTAAAATTGAGATGAGTACAAAATATGAAGCAAGTATGTGTTAGTTCAAAAAAGGCATAAGCATTTACCTCTTTTGTATTTCATTGAGAGGGCACTTTGGGGATGTAGACCTATGGCCAAGACCCAAGCAATTTGGACACTTCACCTGCCACGTGCCTTTGCCCCTAGACTTGCTTTCCTTGTTCTCAATGCAGCTAGGTTTTCTGAGTTTCCTTTGTCTTCCAACCTCTCTCTTACTGAGTGGTGGTAGCACTTTGAATCCAAGATCCACTTTCACCCATTAAGACTTATCAGAAAGTGGTTTGATCACACCACCATATGCTAGTCTAAAATGGTACACTGAATAATAAGGATCCAGGTACTCTTCCATCTTAGGATTTCTACATGTGGTGATGAGTGCCAAAGCATGTGGACATGGCTTACCTGAGACTTGCCACTCCCTGCAGGTGCATGCATGGTTTTTAATATTAACCACATGCCTTATGATCTTGTGTGAAGCAGTGACCTCTGTCACCTTTGCTTCCTCCCTTCCACCTTCTGCTATGTTTACGTGACCCAACTACCGACTCATTGCATATAGTTGACGGACAACAATTGGAAGCATTACATGTCCTTCAAATTTCTCACCTATTCTTCTCCTTCTTGCATACAGTTCCATGAATTTGGACCTCAGAGTGTCAGCAAGGTCAGCTATGGGAAGGTCCTTAATGTCTTTCACCCAATTGTTATAAACCTCTGCCAAATTATTTGTGATATGATCGCACTTTATTGCTTCTGAGAATTTGCTCCTCATCCACTTCAACTTGTGATTCGCTTTCAACCATGGCTCAACCTTCTTATTTACTTCATACATCTTCTGCATCAAGTATTCATGGTATTTTGGTTGGAAAGTGTAGGATCTCTGGTTAGTCTAGAGGGGGTGAATAGGCCTGTCAAAACAAACACTCAAACTTTCATCAAATTTAACCTGTGGCACTGTCGCTCTGACCTCGCGACACTGCTGGGCCAGAACAGCTGCACTACCGCACCTGTAGATAACTTTGAGTCACAGTTCAAAATCAGTGAATGTAAACTTGAATCAAAGAAATTTCTTAGCTTCTTGTAGGTATGAGATTCATAGATCGAGAGCTCGAAGTGGTAGGAACACAACACACAAGTAGATCGACCACAAACCCTAGAAATCACCTCAACAAAAATATGAAATGCAAATGATATAAATCAAGCACAAGGTGACATGATGATTTAACCCGTGGTTTAGCTCGCCACCAAGGCTTGCTTATGTCCACGTTGTTAAGGTTAGCCACTAAGGCTTAGGGCTTTGCAACTCTTCCTCGTTCTCAAGTCAAGAGACTCAACTCTTGAGATGAGGGGTGAGTTTACCAGCTTTAAGAGGTGGTTACAAACCTCCTGGGGCTGCCACACAAGTTGGCAAGCTCCACGGGCGATACCCTAGCCAGCTAGAAGCAAAGCTCCAAGAGTAATAAACACAACCGTTGGCCAAAACATGAACCAAGTGCTCTTTTGAGTTGGAGAATCAAAGGATCTGCTCTCTAATTAAGTTTGGGACCTTTTTCTCTCAAGGATTGATAGAGAAATTAAGGGAGAATGCTTGGGAGCTCAAGATCACTAATGAAGGAGAGAGAGAAGGGCACTCTTCTGCTCTTGGATGAGCTGAATGAGTGGGAGAGAGAAGAGAGATGTTGGGAAGGAAGAGGAAAGATTTAAGTACCCCCAACCCCAACGGCCACTTAAGTCACGGCAGTGCCGCGGCTCAAGTGCGACAGTGCCTCACTCTAGGTGCGGCACTGCCGCACCAGGCAAGACAACAAGGGTAAGAGTGAAGTGTTGGTTGTCTTGGCTGAGTAACTGAGGATGTATGTGTAAGATTGAGCATTTGGTAGTACATGTTAGCTTAAGAATTGTGTTCCCTTTATAGTACGGCTTTTATTATACTCAAATTCAAAATATAAAAGAA